TTACAGGTATCCTATCCCAACCAATCACAGAAGACAGTTAGCTGTAATACAGAAAGAATTGCAAATTTTTACTGTCACTGGGATTTGAACTCTAGACCTGCCACTTGGAGGTTGACAACCTATCCACTTTACTAGATCACCACATCCCGCATTGATGAGTTGTTTCATAAGACATAATTTATAATTTGTTAGGTTTTTAAAAGTTTCATAAAAACATATTTATAAATATCAAACTTTCACAAAATACTACTTAGCTCCAATTCTTTAAAAAAAGTAGTTAATTTTTATTTTGCATTAGTGTTAATCACAGGATGAAAAACATCACTTATAGAAAATTCATCTTTATTTATAGATTTCTCCTTATTATCTTTCTTCTCAAACCTCTGTCTTTCTTCTTCAAGCATGTTTATTCATTTTTGCAAAAAGTTATCAAAGTTCTCCTCTTTATCTGTAAGCTCATTATCAAATTTCTCATCTGAAAGTTTTTTAGTTTCTATATTTTCCAAAGATTCTCATATTTTTTTATCTTCAACAAAACTCAAATTATTTTCACTAGTTAAATTAGATGGTTTAATATTAGCTTTATTCATAGAATCAATTTTAGCAGATATATTAAAATCAGATTGCTGCTCAAGGATACTTTCATGTGCATGCATTTGATCTGCTTCTAAATTTAGTTGTATTTGATGATTATATATGATATTAGTATGTAATTTGTGTATTTGTAAAGCTTTTGCAGACTATATACATAATTTAATAAATTAGTATTTAATTACTAGTAGATTTGTCATTCAATAGTGCTAAATCACACTAGTGGTGTTCAATGCTATATATATATATTTAATAGTTTTGTTAGCTAGAGCTTTTGAGATATAGCAATTGTAGTATTGCTACTAGCATAATTTAGTAAATTCATTACTATTAATCAATTATATCATTTGGTTTAAAAGAATCCTATACAACTTCAGAGTTGTTTTATAGCAGTAGCATTTACACATACTTCAAAAATTTAAGTCACAACTAAATCTAATTCTTTAGTTAATAAATTTGCAAAACACTAATATAGATGAATATCATTTGAAAATTGGTTTCATATATTTATATCAAAAGGATATTTTTTTAATCAAAAATTATTAAATTCTCTTAAAATTTGTATTGATTCTTTTTCAAACCATGCATAATAATAATACACTAACTAGGAGCCAAAGTTAGTATAGTTAATATTAATATTAAACTTCTCTAGATGATAATCGGAATGTAATAAACAAGTAAAAATTAGTAAAAACTGTTCTCAATCATGCTATCAGTGCTTCAAACATAATATAAGCTGAGTGCTAAGCTGAAGGTTATTATAATTATTTCAAAATTAAACAAAATAACCTAACTTAAGATAACCTGATGTAATTAAGTTTTGTCAGATTGTAATTTATTTAAAATTGTACAATATGGTCTAAGAATATTAAAGATATAATAAATATTAGTTTAGAAATTAGCAAAACTAATAATTTCATATATTTTACATTTTAATTTGTGTTCTGTTCTAGCATGTAAAGTTTCACTAATTGGTGGTTTAAACTTAATCACAAGAATCTAATAAAAAATAAATAAAATATCAATAATATAATGTATATAAGAATCTTCTATCAATTTACCTGTAATGCTTTTTGGGATCTTAAAAAACTTAAGCAAATTGCATAAAAACTGTTCCAATGAGTTTCTCTAAGTGCATTAATTGTAAAACACTTTTTATACTTAGCATATTGCTCTTCTTTTAATTTTGCTATAAAATTTTATGAATTGGATTTCTAAAATATAATGCAAGACAAATAGCCTAGTCAATTGTCTTTTTAAAATTAGTTGATTCTTTAAAGATCTTTCCAATACATAAATTTATTTGATGCACATAACAAGACAAGAACATGATCGATCTTTCTATAACTCTCAAATAACATTTATAAAAATTTCTATTTATTTTTTTTATTTATTTTAAAATAAAACAATAAAAAAAAAATACCTAGCAGCTGTATAAGCACTCACACTATCTGTAATAATAAATATGGTTTTTATTGATTGATATTCAATTCAGTAAGCATTATATTAATTTTTCAATAATTTCAGCATTTGTTTTGCATTCTAAGCTTATACGTATTTAGTGTTTTTCAAACAAATGGTCTACCTTCTGATATAATTATTACTGCTCCTAACAAGTGTTCATTCTGAACATTAGTTCAACTATTGAAGGTAAGATTAATACCAATTTGATCTTCTTTTAAAATAGCTAATATTACTTTGTCAGATTCTTGAGTTGCCTTACTTAAAATTTACCCTTCAAGTGTATACTGGTCAGGAAGCTTAAGAAAAAGGTTGAGAAACTCAAACAACTCAGCTGTCTTAGGTTTATTTACTCAATGCAACACTCAGCCACAAGAGACTGTGAGCTGTAAAAGAAGTTAATAAAATCTTCTCATATTCTCAGATGACAGAGTTCTTATAATATAATTGTTCATTAAACCAAGCAATAAAGACCAAATTATTTTTGAAGCTAAGAAATGTAAAGTTGAAGATGTAGTCTTAATTTTTTCTATAGAATATAATTTGTAAGAAATTAATAAATTATTAAATAATAAATAAAATAAATAAATAAATAATATTTATCTTTAGTTAAAATTTCATTTAGTTTAAAACCTTTTCTTTTTCTTCAGATATTGTTTCAGCAACAAAATTTGTACATTTTTTCAGATATGAAATTATTTAATATTTTTTATTAGGAAAACAGCATTTAGCAGCTTTCTCTTCACTCAATCACTTTTTACAGAATTTGCAGTATACTTTAGTATTATTTTTATTTATCTTTTTATTAGTTTTAATAATATATTTGTCAAGAACAAATAGTAAAGATGGTGGTATAATGGTAAAAAAATGCTTGGCTTTATAATATACTTAGTTTGAATTGTTACATAATAGATCATCTACAAAAAAAATATGTAAGATTATTTAATTACATGTATAAAAAAAAAATTTGTTTGAATAAAAAAAGTGCATATTGGATTACTTAAATATGCACAACTAAAAGAAAAAAAAATCTAAAATACAAAAAAAAAAACTGTCCTATTTTTAAATTAGGCAATATATATTTAATTCTAAAAATCAAGTTTCTTGTTAATGAACAATATAAAAATATCTAATTCTTGCATATGCATAAAAAGAAGACACTTTTATCTATTAATATTATACTATAAATATATCTTTTATTGTTATATCGAACATTAATTAGTGACTCGAAGGTCTGTTAGAAGCCTTGTATACTATTGCAAAGCAGCCAAGAAATTTTTAAAACTCTTATTGTGACTTCACAGTGACTCGTTTGGCTTCAATTACTAAATTCTTCTAACTTTAAATAGGTAATGTTACAAAGTAGATTTTAGTATAGTATATTATAAATAGCATTAGTAGTTATATATATTCTTTATTGTATTTTATATCTTATATTTATTATTAGTTATTAGTTATTAGTTAGTCGATAGTTATATTATATAGTAGATAGATAAAAAGATCTTAATTGGCTATTAGCAATGTGGTACAGCCACATGACACTGAGTAACATCTGTGATGTTATTATCATCTTACAAACCCCAAGTACTTCTGTACAAGTTTCATGTATCCTAGCACCAAATTACTGTGCCAAGTGCTGCAGCACAGAAATCCCAAGTATCCCTAACATGAACCCCAAGTGTCCCCGCACGAACCCCAAGTATCCCTGCACAAATACCAAGTGCCTTTGCACGGATCCAAGTGCCTAAACACAAGCCCCAAGTGTTTTAAGCACAAATGACAAATAGCATAAACAATATCTCCAGTTGCCCCTACACAGTCCTCACTACCCCCAAGGCACAGTAGCATTAATGTTGTTCAAACCTTTATTGTCCCAAATACAATGATATCTAATATTGTTCAAACCCCCATTACCCCGAGTACAGTATCAAGTAATGTTGCTCGAATCTTCACTATCCCCACTAGGTAAAAAGATATATAAAGGGTAGCTTTCACCCTTTCCTGCCAATTCTAAGTTCCTACACTTCAACCTAGACCCTTCTACCTTTATCCCTAACTTGTAATTGTGATATTCTCCTTCTAGGGTAATTCCTACAGGCAAGGTTGTCACTGTGTGTTTAGTTAATAAAGTTAATCTATATACTGTTACTATCTC